TCACCATATATTAAAATCTTTTAATAATATATATAATATAATACAATATAATAATAATAATGACTTAAAGCTTAAAACTATAAGCTAATTGGTGAAGAGTGCAAGCTCTTTGGTTTGACAAAGATGTTTAATTTTACTTACGGCTGACAGTGATTGAGGCCTACGACCCCGTACCGCCGATCCTCAGGCATGACCCTTTTATACGGAGGACGTTCGGGGTCTCCTCCGCAAGTAAACTCGCAGCAACTGGGATTCTCCTCGTTGCTCACTAGCTCACTACGACTCCGTACCGCCGATCCTCAGGCATGACCCTTTTATACGGAGGACGTTCGGGGTCTCCTCCGCAAGTAAACTCGCAGCAACTGGGATTCTCCTCGTTGCTCACTAGCTCACTACGACTCCGTACCGCCGATCCTCAGGCATAACCCTTTTATACGGAGGACGTTCGGGGTCTCCTCCGCAAGTAAACTCGCAGCAACTGGGATTCTCCTCGTTGCTCACTAGCTCACTACGACTCCGTACCGCCGATCCTCAGGCATGACCCTTTTATACGGAGGACGTTCGGGGTCTCCTCCGCAGCAGTCTACACTACACCCATTCGAGGGGCAGGCTTGCAGTGTGCAGCTACTCGAAAGACTTTTAGCATATCCGATTCTCCGAGAGCGTTGGGTTGCATCCATTAATAAGCTAGCAAGAGCATTTATTCACCATATATTTAAATCTTTTAATAATATATATAATATAATACAATATAATAATAATAATGACTTAAAGCTTAAAACTATAAGCTAATTGGTGAAGAGTGCAAGCTCTTTGGTTTGACAAAGATGTTTAATTTTACTTACGGCTGACAGTGATTGAGGCCTACGACCCCGTACCGCCGATCCTCAGGCATGACCCTTTTATACGGAGGACGTTCGGGGTCTCCTCCGCAAGTAAACTCGCAGCAACTGGGATTCTCCTCGTTGCTCACTAGCTCACTACGACTCCGTACCGCCGATCCTCAGGCATGACCCTTTTATACGGAGGACGTTCGGGGTCTCCTCCGCAAGTAAACTCGCAGCAACTGGGATTCTCCTCGTTGCTCACTAGCTCACTACGACTCCGTACCGCCGATACTCAGGCATGACCCTTTTATACGGAGGACGTTCGGGGTCTCCTCCGCAAGTAAACTCGCAGCAACTGGGATTCTCCTCGTTGCTCACTAGCTCACTACGACTCCGTACCGCCGATCCTCAGGCATGACCCTTTTATACGGAGGACGTTCGGGGTCTCCTCCGCAGCAGTCTACACTACACCCATTCGAGGGGCAGGCTTGCAGTGTGCAGCTACTGGCAGTTGGCCCATCGCCAACAGAAGAGTTTGACCACGAACTTAGATCTGATTCCGAGCTGCAATCCGCAGAATCCATGACTTTGATAAAGTTTAAAAATAAATTTTGGTAGCGAAAAAATGGTGTTGTAGTGAGTACTAGAATATATATAGAATAAAAATGGAACTGTGTAAAATGAACTCAAATTTAGTTGCAAATCACGACCTTACTAAACAGAGGATTTTCGATGAATGAGTGTTAAACGTTCATAGCCCAGGCAAATAGGCAAACGCTGAAGTCACAGCCTACTTTTAACATTAACATTTGAAAATCGAACTAAGACATGAGATCAAAATTCATTCGTTCTTGCCAGTGGCGGATCCAGAATTTAGTTGTGGGGTGGATAGAAAAAAAATTGTATCAGTAAAAAACAAACAGTTGGAATAAAATACATAATACACATACTTTTCAACCCTTTTGGGATCAAAAAATAAGCAAGGTCTGTATCTATGGATACAAAGAATAAAACTAACCCTTTAAAGTCAAATTACCAGATAAAATATTAATACTTTATCTTCTTTTTCGGTACCTCCTACAATAAATAAATATAGGTTTTACTGAAATGTTATTAGACTAGCTTTAATCAAAATCCCATTTGGCTTACCATTCCCAACCTGCTCCACTAACTCCTAAGAATGTCCACATACAAGTCTATGTTCTTTGGCCGATTAAAAATGGTCCAAATTATCTTGAGCAACGCATCTAGAACATTTGTTAAACCTTTCCCGTCCGTTGCGTCTATTCTGACTTTAGTTTTCCCTCCAAAACCATTTCGGTATTTATCATCATTTTTTTATTCTTGTTGACCGATATACGAGAGTTGACAAAGTTGGGGAGGGGAAATCGATCTTTTTAAAAGAAGTTATGCCTGGTTACATGTCGCATGAGTAATTTTTATAGAAACTTTAAAGACATTTCGCAAGGTCTAAAACTCAACCAAAAAAATGTTAATTTTTGGATACATTTTTTGCGAACCGCCCTAGTGTAAGCAGCCAAAATTTTCCACGACTCATTTCTTGTTTTCCATGATAATTGGATCCTCCTGGACAAAAGTCCCATACAAACTTGTGTTTCATCACCAACAGGACTCACAGTATAACCAAGGATACGAAAAACCGATGTCTGCCGACATTTTGAATTATGTGGCTTATATAATTGGACTTTTAAGATGTGTCCAATTATGTGGGTTTTTTGGTTACTGTATACAACTATTAGCAAAGCTAGTACTCAGACTGACAAACAGTGCCTTTTGGATGCCTAACCAAATAAAAAATATTCGTTATAAATTAGAAAAAATTATAAACTATTCAAATATAAGGAATATACTTTTAAAATTTTTTGTAAAATGATGGCTGTGACTTCAGCGCTTTCCTATTTGTCTAGGCTGGGAATGTTTTAGACTCATTTATCAAAAGTCCTCTGTTCAGTAAGATCGTGCTCCCCACCTACATTTTAGTAGTTATCCTTAAGCACTTGCCGAAACAAAGCAAAACAACGCAAAACTAACTACAATTTGAACGCTTAAATGTGGAATGTTTTCAGTGCTAAAAGAATATTTCATTGCTATTAGCAAATTGATCAAGGTTGAGATATCCATTCAGGAAAGCGTTGTAAAATAAATAAATACGATTGTGGAACAGCAGTGACACCACGAGAATTTTCACAAGTTAAAACGTTTGGACCCTTTTAAGTATTTATAACAACTTCCTCGCATACGGTTCTTATACTATTTATATTTTTAAGCAACAATTTTGGGAGATAAATTCGCCTTCAAAAGCTCCTGCACCAACAACCATTTTCTTATAACGACGGGACACAAAGCACAAAAATCACCTACGCTCAAAAAAAATACTGAATAAAAGACTGGAATACTAAATCGATTTGCATGTGCGGTCCCATTTTTCCATTTCTTAGGGATGTGCTCCGATACATCGATTCATCCGTATCGAAATCGACATTCGCCCTCAACCAAAATAATCGATAGCATTGGAGTTAGATTTTAGGTAGCAAACTTCGCAGTCTCTGCCGACTCTTCAACATGTCCGGATGCTCAGAGGAGCAGAAATATTTATATATATTTCTTATATTTAATATTTAATAGTCATTAGCAAGTTATTTTTTCATCCATTTTTCTTCAATCCTCGGGACACGAAAAATTGGTCTCGGTTTTCTGCTAATAAAGTACCAACATTAAAAGCGGCTATCGCTTGCTTTGAAAAATGTTAACAAAGATATTTAATTTTACTTACGGCTGACAGTGATTAAGGCCTCGAAAGACTTTTAGCATATCCGATTCTCCGAGAGCGTTGGGTTGCATCCATTAATAAGCTAGCAAGAGCATTTATTCACCATATATTAAAATCTTTTAATAATATATATAATATAATACAATATAATAATAATAATGACTTAAAGCTTAAAACTATAAGCTAATTGGTGAAGAGTGAAAGCTCTTTGGTTTGACAAAGATGTTTAATTTTACTTACGGCTGACAGTGATTGAGGCCTACGACCCCGTACCGCCGATCCTCAGGCATGACCCTTTTATACGGAGGACGTTCGGGGTCTCCTCCGCAAGTAAACTCGCAGCAACTGGGATTCTCCTCGTTGCTCACTAGCTCACTACGACTCCGTACCGCCGATCCTCAGGCATGACCCTTTTATACGGAGGACGTTCGGGGTCTCCTCCGCAAGTAAACTCGCAGCAACTGGGATTCTCCTCGTTGCTCACTAGCTCACTACGACTCCGTACCGCCGATCCTCAGGCATAACCCTTTTATACGGAGGACGTTCGGGGTCTCCTCCGCAAGTAAACTCGCAGCAACTGGGATTCTCCTCGTTGCTCACTAGCTCACTACGACTCCGTACCGCCGATCCTCAGGCATGACCCTTTTATACGGAGGACGTTCGGGGTCTCCTCCGCAGCAGTCTACACTACACCCATTCGAGGGGCAGGCTTGCAGTGTGCAGCTACTCGAAAGACTTTTAGCATATCCGATTCTCCGAGAGCGTTGGGTTGCATCCATTAATAAGCTAGCAAGAGCATTTATTCACCATATATTAAAATCTTTTAATAATATATATAATATAATACAATATAATAATAATAATGACTTAAAGCTTAAAACTATAAGCTAATTGGTGAAGAGTGCAAGCTCTTTGGTTTGACAAAGATGTTTAATTTTACTTACGGCTGACAGTGATTGAGGCCTACGACCCCGTACCGCCGATCCTCAGGCATGACCCTTTTATACGGAGGACGTTCGGGGTCTCCTCCGCAAGTAAACTCGCAGCAACTGGGATTCTCCTCGTTGCTCACTAGCTCACTACGACTCCGTACCGCCGATCCTCAGGCATGACCCTTTTATACGGAGGACGTTCGGGGTCTCCTCCGCAAGTAAACTCGCAGCAACTGGGATTCTCCTCGTTGCTCACTAGCTCACTACGACTCCGTACCGCCGATCCTCAGGCATGACCCTTTTATACGGAGGACGTTCGGGGTCTCCTCCGCAAGTAAACTCGCAGCAACTGGGATTCTCCTCGTTGCTCACTAGCTCACTACGACTCCGTACCGCCGATCCTCAGGCATGACCCTTTTATACGGAGGACGTTCGGGTTCTCCTCCGCAGCAGTCTACACTACACCCATTCGAGGGGCAGGCTTGCAGTGTGCAGCTACTGGCAGTTGGCCCATCGCCAACAGAAGAGTTTGACCACGAACTTAGATCTGATTCCGAGCTGCAATCCGCAGAATCCATGACTTTGATAAAGTTTAAAAATAAATTTTGGTAGCGAAAAAATGGTGTTGTAGTGAGTACTAGAATATATATAGAATAAAAATGGAACTGTGTAAAATGAACTCAAATTTAGTTGCAAATCACGACCTTACTAAACAGAGGATTTTCGATGAATGAGTGTTAAACGTTCATAGCCCAGGCAAATAGGCAAACGCTGAAGTCACAGCCTACTTTTAACATTAACATTTGAAAATCGAACTAAGACATGAGATCAAAATTCATTCGTTCTTGCCAGTGGCGGATCCAGAATTTAGTTGTGGGGTGGATAGAAAAAAAATTGTATCAGTAAAAAACAAACAGTTGGAATAAAATACATAATACACATACTTTTCAACCCTTTTGGGATCAAAAAATAAGCAAGGTCTGTATCTATGGATACAAAGAATAAAACTAACCCTTTAAAGTCAAATTACCAGATAAAATATTAATACTTTATCTTCTTTTTCGGTACCTCCTACAATAAATAAATATAGGTTTTACTGAAATGTTATTAGACTAGCTTTAATCAAAATCCCATTTGGCTTACCATTCCCAACCTGTTCCACTAACTCCTAAGAATGTCCATATACAAGTCTTTGTTCTTTGGCCAAGTAAAAGTGTTCCAAATTATCTTGAGCAACGCATCTAGAACATTTGTTAAACCTTTCCCGTCCGTTGCGTCTATTCTGACTTTAGTTTTCCCTCCAAAACCATTTCGGTATTTATCATCATTTTTTTATTCTTGTTGACCGATATACGAGAGTTGACAAAGTTGGGGAGGGGAAATCGATCTTTTTAAAAGAAGTTATGCCTGGTTACATGTCGCATGAGTAATTTTTATAGAAACTTTAAAGACATTTCGCAAGGTCTAAAACTCAACCAAAAAAATGTTAATTTTTGGATACATTTTTTGCGAACCGCCCCGCCCTAGTGTAAGCAGCCAAAATTTTCCACGACTCATTTCTTGTTTTCCATGATAATTGGATCCTCCTGGACAAAAGTCCCATACAAACTTGTGTTTCATCACCAACAGGACTCACAGTATAACCAAGGATACGAAAAACCGATGTCTGCCGACATTTTGAATTATGTGGCTTATATAATTGGACTTTTAAGATGTGTCCAATTATGTGGGTTTTTTGGTTACTGTATACAACTATTAGCAAAGCTAGTACTCAGACTGACAAACAGTGCCTTTTGGATGCCTAACCAAATAAAAAATATTCGTTATAAATTAGAAAAAATTATAAACTATTCAAATTATTCAAATATAAGGAATATACTTTTAAAATTTTTTGTAAAATGATGGCTGTGACTTCAGCGCTTTCCTATTTGTCTACGCTGGGAATGTTTTAGACTCATTTATCAAAAGTCCTCTGTTCAGTAAGATCGTGCTCCCCACCTACATTTTAGTAGTTATCCTTAAGCACTTGCCGAAACAAAGCAAAACAACGCAAAACTAACTACAATTTGAACGCTTAAATGTGGAATGTTTTCAGTGCTAAAGGAATATTTCATTGCTATTAGCAAATTGATCAAGGTTGAGATATCCATTCAGGAAAGCGTTGTAAAATAAATAAATACGATTGTGGAACAGCAGTGACACCACGAGAATTTTCACAAGTTAAAACGTTTGGACCCTTTTAAGTATTTATAACAACTTCCTCGCATACGGTTCTTATACTATTTATATTTTTAAGCAACAATTTTGGGAGATAAATTCGCCTTCAAAAGCTCCTGCACCAACAACCATTTTCTTATAACGACGGGACACAAAGCACAAAAATCACCTACGCTCAAAAAAAATACTGAATAAAACACTGGAATACTAAATCGATTTGCATGTGCGGTCCCATTTTTCCATTTCTTAGGGATGTGCTCCGATACATCGATTCATCCGTATCGAAATCGACATTCGCCCTCAACCAAAATAATCGATAGCATTGGAGTTAGATTTTAGGTAGCAAACTTCGCAGTCTCTGCCGACTCTTCAACATGTCCGGATGCTCAGAGGAGCAGAAATATTTATATATATTTCTTATATTTAATATTTAATAGTCATTAGCAAGTTATTTTTTCATCCATTTTTCTTCAATCCTCGGGACACGAAAAATTGGTCTCGGTTTTCTGCTAATAAAGTACCAACATTAAAAGCGGCTATCGCTTGCTTTGAAAAATGTTAACAAAGATATTTAATTTTACTTACGGCTGACAGTGATTAAGGCCTCGAAAGACTTTTAGCATATCCGATTCTCCGAGAGCGTTGGGTTGCATCCATTAATAAGCTAGCAAGAGCATTTATTCACCATATATTAAAATCTTTTAATAATATATATAATATAATACAATATAATAATAATAATGACTTAAAGCTTAAAACTATAAGCTAATTGGTGAAGAGTGCAAGCTCTTTGGTTTGACAAAGATGTTTAATTTTACTTACGGCTGACAGTGATTGAGGCCTACGACCCCGTACCGCCGATCCTCAGGCATGACCCTTTTATACGGAGGACGTTCGGGGTCTCCTCCGCAAGTAAACTCGCAGCAACTGGGATTCTCCTCGTTGCTCACTAGCTCACTACGACTCCGTACCGCCGATCCTCAGGCATGACCCTTTTATACGGAGGACGTTCGGGGTCTCCTCCGCAAGTAAACTCGCAGCAACTGGGATTCTCCTCGTTGCTCACTAGCTCACTACGACTCCGTACCGCCGATCCTCAGGCATGACCCTTTTATACGGAGGACGTTCGGGGTCTCCTCCGCAGCAGTCTACACTACACCCATTCGAGGGGCAGGCTTGCAGTGTGCAGCTACTCGAAAGACTTTTAGCATATCCGATTCTCCGAGAGCGTTGGGTTGCATCCATTAATAAGCTAGCAAGAGCATTTATTCACCATATATTAAAATCTTTTAATAATATATATAATATAATACAATATAATAATAATAATGACTTAAAGCTTAAAACTATAAGCTAATTGGTGAAGAGTGCAAGGTCTTTGGTTTGACAAAGATGTTTAATTTTACTTACGGCTGACAGTGATTGAGGCCTACGACCCCGTACCGCCGATCCTCAGGCATGACCCTTTTATACGGAGGACGTTCGGGGTCTCCTCCGCAAGTAAACTCGCAGCAACTGGGATTCTCCTCGTTGCTCACTAGCTCACTACGACTCCGTACCGCCGATCCTCAGGCATGACCCTTTTATACGGAGGACGTTCGGGGTCTCCTCCGCAAGTAAACTCGCAGCAACTGGAATTCTCCTCGTTGCTCACTAGCTCACTACGACTCCGTACCGCCGATCCTCAGGCATGACCCTTTTATACGGAGGACGTTCGGGGTCTCCTCCGCAAGTAAACTCGCAGCAACTGGGATTCTCCTCGTTGCTCACTAGCTCACTACGACTCCGTACCGCCGATCCTCAGGCATGACCCTTTTATACGGAGGACGTTCGGGGTCTCCTCCGCAGCAGTCTACACTACACCCATTCGAGGGGCAGGCTTGCAGTGTGCAGCTACTGGCAGTTGGCCCATCGCCAACATAAGAGTTTGACCACGAACTTAGATCTGATTCCGAGCTGCAATCCGCAGAATCCATGACTTTGATAAAGTTTAAAAATAAATTTTGGTAGCGAAAAAATGGTGTTGTAGTGAGTACTAGAATATATATAGAATAAAAATGGAACTGTGTAAAATGAACTGAACCTTACTAAACAGAGGATTTTCGATGAATGAGTGTTAAACGTTCATAGCCCAGGCAAATAGGCAAACGCTGAAGTCACAGCCTACTTTTAACATTAACATTTGAAAATCGAACTAAGACATGAGATCAAAATTCATTCGTTCTTGCCAGTGGCGGATCCAGAATTTAGTTGTGGGGTGGATAGAAAAAAAATTGTATCAGTAAAAAACAAACAGTTGGAATAAAATACATAATACACATACTTTTCAACCCTTTTGGGATCAAAAAATAAGCAAGGTCTGTATCTATGGATACAAAGAATAAAACTAACCCTTTAAAGTCAAATTACCAGATAAAATATTAATACTTTATCTTCTTTTTCGGTACCTCCTACAATAAATAAATATAGGTTTTACTGAAATGTTATTAGACTAGCTTTAATCAAAATCCCATTTGGCTTACCATTCCCAACCTGTTCCACTAACTCCTAAGAATGTCCATATACAAGTCTTTGTTCTTTGGCCAAGTAAAAATGTTCCAAATTATCTTGAGCAACGCATCTAGAACATTTGTTAAACCTTTCCCGTCCGTTGCGTCTATTCTGACTTTAGTTTTCCCTCCAAAACCATTTCGGTATTTATCATCATTTTTTTATTCTTGTTGACCGATATACGAGAGTTGACAAAGTTGGGGAGGGGAAATCGATCTTTTTAAAAGAAGTTATGCCTGGTTACATGTCGCATGAGTAATTTTTATAGAAACTTTAAAGACATTTCGCAAGGTCTAAAACTCAACCAAAAAAATGTTAATTTTTGGATACATTTTTTGCGAACCGCCCTAGTGTAAGCAGCCAAAATTTTCCACGACTCATTTCTTGTTTTCCATGATAATTGGATCCTCCTGGACAAAAGTCCCATACAAACTTGTGTTTCATCACCAACAGGACTCACAGTATAACCAAGGATACGAAAAACCGATGTCTGCCGACATTTTGAATTATGTGGCTTATATAATTGGACTTTTAAGATGTGTCCAATTATGTGGGTTTTTTGGTTACTGTATACAACTATTAGCAAAGCTAGTACTCAGACTGACAAACAGTGCCTTTTGGATGCCTAACCAAATAAAAAATATTCGTTATAAATTAGAAAAAATTATAAACTATTCAAATATAAGGAATATACTTTTAAAATTTTTTGTAAAATGATGGCTGTGACTTCAGCGCTTTCCTATTTGTCTAGGCTGGGAATGTTTTAGACTCATTTATCAAAAGTCCTCTGTTCAGTAAGATCGTGCTCCCCACCTACATTTTAGTAGTTATCCTTAGGCACTTGCCGAAACAAAGCAAAACAACGCAAAACTAACTACAATTTGAACGCTTAAATGTGGAATGTTTTCAGTGCTAAAGGAATATTTCATTGCTATTAGCAAATTGATCAAGGTTGAGATATCCATTCAGGAAAGCGTTGTAAAATAAATAAATACGATTGTGGAACAGCAGTGACACCACGAGAATTTTCACAAGTTAAAACGTTTGGACCCTTTTAAGTATTTATAACAACTTCCTCGCATACGGTTCTTATACTATTTATATTTTTAAGCAACAATTTTGGGAGATAAATTCGCCTTCAAAAGCTCCTGCACCAACAACCATTTTCTTATAACGACGGGACACAAAGCACAAAAATCACCTACGCTCAAAAAAAATACTGAATAAAACACTGGAATACTAAATCGATTTGCATGTGCGGTCCCATTTTTCCATTTTTTAGGGATGTGCTCCGATACATCGATTCATCCGTATCGAAATCGACATTCGCCCTCAACCAAAATAATCGATAGCATTGGAGTTAGATTTTAGGTAGCAAACTTCGCAGTCTCTGCCGACTCTTCAACATGTCCGGATGCTCAGAGGAGCAGAAATATTTATATATATTTCTTATATTTAATATTTAATAGTCATTAGCAAGTTATTTTTTCATCCATTTTTCTTAAATCCTCGGGACACGAAAAATTGGTCTCGGTTTTCTGCTAATAAAGTACCAACATTAAAAGCGGCTATCGCTTGCTTTGAAAAATGTTAACAAAGATATTTAATTTTACTTACGGCTGACAGTGATTAAGGCCTCGAAAGACTTTTAGCATATCCGATTCTCCGAGAGCGTCACCATATATTAAAATCTTTTAATAATATATATAATATAATACAATATAATAATAATAATGACTTAAAGCTTAAAACTATAAGCTAATTGGTGAAGAGTGCAAGCTCTTTGGTTTGACAAAGATGTTTAATTTTACTTACGGCTGACAGTGATTGAGGCCTACGACCCCGTACCGCCGATCTTCAGGCATGACCCTTTTATACGGAGGACGTTCGGGGTCTGCTCCGCAAGTAAACTCGCAGCAACTGGGATTCTCCTCGTTGCTCACTAGCTCACTACGACTCCGTACCGCCGATCCTCAGGCATGACCCTTTTATACGGAGGACGTTCGGGGTCTCCTCCGCAAGTAAACTCGCAGCAACTGGGATTCTCCTCGTTGCTCACTAGCTCATTACGACTCCGTACCGCCGATCCTCAGGCATGACCCTTTTATACGGAGGACGTTCGGGGTCTCCTCCGCAGCAGTCTACACTACACCCATTCGAGGGGCAGGCTTGCAGTGTGCAGCTACTCGAAAGACTTTTAGCATATCCGATTCTCCGAGAGCGTTGGGTTGCATCCATTAATAAGCTAGCAAGAGCATTTATTCACCATATATTAAAATCTTTTAATAATATATATAATATAATACAATATAATAATAATAATGACTTAAAGCTTAAAACTATAAGCTAATTGGTGAAGAGTGCAAGCTCTTTGGTTTGACAAAGATGTTTAATTTTACTTACGGCTGACAGTGATTGAGGCCTACGACCCCGTACCGCCGATCCTCAGGCATGACCCTTTTATACGGAGGACTTTCGGGGTCTCCTCCGCAAGTAAACTCGCAGCAACTGGGATTCTCCTCGTTGCTCACTAGCTCACTACGACTCCGTACCGCCGATCCTCAGGCATGACCCTTTTATACGGAGGACGTTCGGGGTCTCCTCCGCAAGTAAACTCGCAGCAACTGGGATTCTCCTCGTTGCTCACTAGCTCACTACGACTCCGTACCGCCGATCCTCAGGCATGACCCTTTTATACGGAGGACGTTCGGGGTCTCCTCCGCAAGTAAACTCGCAGCAACTGGGATTCTCCTCGTTGCTCACTAGCTCACTACGACTCCGTACCGCCGATCCTCAGGCATGACCCTTTTATACGGAGGACGTTCGGGGTCTCCTCCGCAGCAGTCTACACTACACCCATTCGAGGGGCAGGCTTGCAGTGTGCAGCTACTGGCAGTTGGCCCATCGCCAACATAAGAGTTTGACCACGAACTTAGATCTGATTCCGAGCTGCAATCCGCAGAATCCATGACTTTGATAAAGTTTAAAAATAAATTTTGGTAGCGAAAAAATGGTGTTGTAGTGAGTACTAGAATATATATAGAATAAAAATGGAACTGTGTAAAATGAACTCAAATTTAGTTGCAAATCACGACCTTACTAAACAGAGGATTTTCGATGAATGAGTGTTAAACGTTCATAGCCCAGGCAAATAGGCAAACGCTGAAGTCACAGCCTACTTTTAACATTAACATTTGAAAATCGAACTAAGACATGAGATCAAAATTCATTCGTTCTTGCCAGTGGCGGATCCAGAATTTAGTTGTGGGGTGGATAGAAAAAAAATTGTATCAGTAAAAAACAAACAGTTGGAATAAAATACATAATACACATACTTTTCAACCCTTTTGGGATCAAAAAATAAGCAAGGTCTGTATCTATGGATACAAAGAATAAAACTAACCCTTTAAAGTCAAATTACCAGATAAAATATTAATACTTTATCTTCTTTTTCGGTACCTCCTACAATAAATAAATATAGGTTTTACTGAAATGTTATTAGACTAGCTTTAATCAAAATCCCATTTGGCTTACCATTCCCAACCTGTTCCACTAACTCCTAAGAATGTCCATATACAAGTCTTTGTTCTTTGGCCAAGTAAAAATGTTCCAAATTATCTTGAGCAACGCATCTAGAACATTTGTTAAACCTTTCCCGTCCGTTGCGTCTATTCTGACTTTAGTTTTCCCTCCAAAACCATTTCGGTATTTATCATCATTTTTTTATTCTTGTTGACCGATATACGAGAGTTGACAAAGTTGGGGAGGGGAAATCGATCTTTTTAAAAGAAGTTATGCCTGGTTACATGTCGCATGAGTAATTTTTATAGAAACTTTAAAGACATTTCGCAAGGTCTAAAACTCAACCAAAAAAATGTTAATTTTTGGATACATTTTTTGCGAACCGCCCTAGTGTAAGCAGCCAAAATTTTCCACGACTCATTTCTTGTTTTCCATGATAATTGGATTCTCCTGAACAAAAGTCCCATACAAACTTGTGTTTCATCACCAACAGGACTCACAGTATAACCAAGGATACGAAAAACCGATGTCTGCCGACATTTTGAATT